GCCCCCCCCCCCCCCCCCCCCCCTCTTGTACACGAAATCTGCACATTTTCTTTGTTCTGCCCCTCTTGGCCAGATTTTGACGCCATGGCGAGAGCCCCCCGCCCCCGAGAAAGAGGCGTTCATGACCTTCTGGCTCACACGAGACGCCCTCGTGCACGTGTGCGTGGACTCGCGAACCCCCCCGAGCAAGTTGCCGTCTTGGCTGGAGTACGCCGGCTTCCGAAAGATACCGGTGCGTCGTTCGTGCTGGTCTCTCGAGTATTGCTGCCGTCTTTGTTATTTTGAGAAGTTTTTGCTTTTCGTATAGAGAAGTGCCGACGGGGGTAGAAATTTGAGGTCGTGTTCCGTCGGCAGTTGATCGTGTTCCGTGCTGGTTGACTCCCATTTGTACTGCTGTTGTGTGCTTGACACCGTTTGTCGCTGATGAATAGGTATTACTATCTATATTTTCATCCAACAGCTGTGTTCCTTTGTGCACAAAACAACGTTTCAACCAATAGGGGGTAAATGATAAGCGATGACGTTCTGAGTGGGCACCCGAGTCCAACAAGCCCCACCGCTAGCTTTGGTTACCCCCTTCCATTTCCTCCTTTCTTACCTCCTCCGTTTCATGTTTTAAAACCCCGTCGTGTTGCTTGAACCGGTGCTAAACACGCCGCTGGGGAAGCAGGGCGCCCAAGTGCGGACGTCGGAGGCAGGCTTGAGCCTCGAGGTGTTTCGACGCTTTTTCCGCGCGAAGACCCTAGTTAGGCTCGGTGGCAGCGACAACGGCCGGGACCTGGCGCAGACCTTGACGAACTTGAGGTGATGATTAGGTTGATCAAGCGTGGAGTGTTCAGTTGTTTTTTTGCTGTTCTGTGACCTCTCTTGCTCGTGCCTGGTATGCGATCCACGCTTTAACTTCGTGGACTACTTTGGTCGCACCCGCTTGTTACGTTCTTCTTCTTGTCTTGTAGGCCACCCATGCTTTTGCGTCCTGGAGCTACTTTGGTCGCAGTGTGTGCATCGATCCTGTTTCTGGGTGCATACCCGGCGGCAACAACACAGCCGCGGGGCTGTATGCCCGAAAGCAAATAAAGCAACCACACGCGTCTGCGTTTGTTGTCATCTGTTGGAGCGAGAGTTCGACTCTTGCAGCTCGCTGACAGTTCATTTTGGCAGACACACTTTGAGTCAGTTTCCCAGGTCAACAGAGCCAAAATGTGAACTCCTGAGGTCCCGTGCCCTCCATCTTGCCACTCACGCTCCTTTCATCTTGTTCTTGCTTGTGTGTTGTTTTTTGTCCAGCGGGGCTGCCGTCAACCCGGATGGCCCGGCCCCCAAGGGTATGCTGGCGAACTACACCGTTCTCCTCACTACGGTGCCGCCGCCACCGCCGTCGCCATCATCGCCGTTATCGTGGTTATCGTCGCCAGGCGACGCTGCGGTCCCGACGCCTGGTGCGGCGGCGGCGGCGGTGGCGGCGGCGGCGGCAGCGTACGGGGAGGAAGCGGACGTGCGTGACGCCCTCGTGGACCGAGACGTGGGGGAGAGCATCGTTTGCCGGCGCCGATACCGCATCCTGCCAGACTTCGGCCCGGGAGATCGACCTTACGTGGTGAGAGGAGACGGAAAGCGAGCTCTGGTTTGTTGGATCGATAAATTACACGGCACAACCGGGTGTGTCGTAGAAAGTTGGGTAATTTTTGTTTTGTGCTTGGCAGTCGTGAGCGTACAGAGCCGACACCCGAGAGTTTTTTTTGAGTCAGCGTTCTTCGCTGCTTGCGCGCATGGTTGTTCCATATGGCGAAACAGGTTGTCGCGCTTTCCTTTCCGTTCGTCTGTTTCTTTGCGCTGCTCTCTGTGTGCATGCCGTGATTCTCCCTCTGTAACTTTCTCACCCTCCGCTCCGGTCCTTCACTTCGCGAACCCCACCCGCGCGCACCCGTTTCCCGCCTCGAAACGCCCAACCACGGCGTCGCGTCACGACTTTCAGGACCGCGACTACACGATCCCTTCGCTGCCCGCCGAGCTGCAGGGCGTGCGACTCACCTGCGTCCAGACCGCGCAGGGAGACAAGCGAGCCGGCGGGTCACGGTTCTGGAGGCTGTCTCTGATGCAGGTGGGAAGAGGGCGTACTAAAGCGCTCGTTGGTCGGGGCAGGGTTGTGCTCACCCCAAAATGTAGAGGCTGTGTGCAGGCAGCATCTCCCGTAGGAGATGTAGCTGTAGTAGTCAGTAAAAGGGGGTCCCGCCATATTTCTGTGCGTTTCTCGGGGTAGGCTCTAGGCTCTAGTGGTAGGCTAATGTACTTGGGGTTGCGCTGGTCCATGGCGTCTGGGACGTTCGCGAGAAAAACATCAGGATGAACACCGTTCACTATGAGCTGTCACGGAACGCGCACCTTTGGATTCATCCCGCACTCCCCGGAGACGAAAACGCTACAAAACGCTACCATATTGATATCATTCCTTATTGCAACGGTGTTGTAGGTCTCGCCGACACCAGGTAGGGGGGCTGTTTCCAGTGCAATCGGGGCGCGAGCAGCATTATCGCCTCGCTTCGTCCATCTCTTGGCGGTTTTCCTCGTGCCCTCGCCCTGTGCGCGCGGTCCTCCTCTGCCTGGTGCCCACCGCACCGTCTTTCTCGTGTTAACGTGCGCGTCGTCTTGTCCTCGCTGCATATCGAATCACTATCTTGTGTATCCTTGCTCAGGAGTCCGTGGTGCTCGTGATCTTCGACGCTCGGGCCCAGTCCGTCCCGGTGTGGCTCTCGGCATCCGGCTTTGTGCTGTGGGAGGGCGTTCAGCTTGCCGGGGCGCAGTACAGGATCCCTTACAAGTACAAGGTGTGTGGTGGACTCGGATGCTGGGCTCCTGTCGACCGTGTTGAGACAGTTGGCGGAAGGAAGGGCCTTGCTTACACTCCCTGCTGGGAATGGTCGACCTGCTCCTTTAGAAACGGCCGTCGAAGAATCGCCTTTTGACGAAGATTTAGCTTGAACTCTGTTTGGTACGAAATGGTTTCCGAATGCCATGGATGGCCCTCCTGGTGTGCGCACGACCCACGAACGCGTGAGTGTCAAATAGGTTGTTTGTACGGGTGCTTGGTCCGTGTATCGATTACAGTCGAAAGTACTTCTCCGGAAGGCGAGCAGGGTTGAGCCCATCCCTCCTCGTGCTCTTCTCGGACATGGCTCACACCTCCGAACAACGAAGCCTATCTTCAAACCCTGGCCCTTTGCTTGCCGAACCCTTCTTCCTTTGCGTGCTTTGTTCTTGACGAAAGGTGTACCGCAAGACGTGCCAAACGGGTTTGGTCTGGCTTGGGGGTAACGGCGCCAGAGGCTGCAAGGGCGCGAAGCGAGGCTACTTTGTCCTTGTCCATGTCGCTCACCGTACGCTTTCTCCCGTCGTCGAAGTGCCACAAGAAGCAGCAGCAGCAGCAGCAGCAGAAGAGGCAGCAATAACAAGCTCCCAGAGGAACGCCGTCGACGACAACAGCGACGTCGACAGCAACGGTTCCGTCGTGTCCACGCTGTCCGCACCCCTCTTTTCGTCGCACGCTGAGGAAGGAGATCTAGGAGAAGGAGGCCAACCCCTGCTGACCGCCGCCTCAAGAAACTCGATGGCCTCTCGCTCGCGCTCATTCGAGTCCTTGCAGAGCGTCGTTGCCACTCCCGACCGATCCCGTCGCCGTGACCGCGACCCCACCCCTGGCGGCGGGGGTGGAGGCGTCGGCGCCGAAGGGACGCGTTTCGGTGACGGCGTCGGTGAAAGTTTTGGCGGTGACGGCGTGGGCGCAAGCAGGGCAAACAGGCCTAGAGCGTCCTCTTCCCGCCACGAGGAGCGACGCCCGGCCGCTGCCGGGCTCCGTCGGCGCGGAATGTCGACGACGGATGCAGCGATACTCGGCACCCGGTCGGCGCTCAGCGGTGGCAACAGCACCGAACCTGGCGGCGGCGGCCGCGCTAGCGGCCGCGCGCGGGCTTGGACAGGCGGGGGCGAAGAAGCCGTCTTAAACGGCGGTGGCGTCGCCGGCGCCGGCGCCGGCGCCGGCGGCACCTACGGTACCGGGAGCGGTGGCAGCGCCGTCTTCGGCGAGAGGCCGGGCGAGCGGAGCAGAGGAGGGCTGCAGCGCATCTCGCCCCTCTGGGATACCGACAAGGACGGGCCGCTGTCGCAGATGCCGGTGCCGTTCGATCGGGTCGGTCGGACCTGGAGCCGGTCCTTCAACGTCGACGCGGCCAAGACGGGGGGGCCGCTGGAGACGTCGGGGGCTACCCTGGGGGTATCGGTGTCCGCGCTCACCGGGCAGTTCCACCGCACGCGCGTCGTGACGTTGTACCCGCGGCTGATCGTGCGAAACTTCCTGGGCTTCCCGCTCGAGGTGTGTGAGTTTTTTTCGTTTTTTTCTTGTGTGTTCGTGATTCGCGGTTGCCGCTTCTACGGCTTCTTCTAGAGCAGCTTTTGCCATGTCTCGGGGGTGAAAGGTTTTGCGCTCTCGAGTGTTACCTGTTACAAAACCTTGATCGCGTCGGTTGCTATGCTTTTGTCGGATTCATGCGGGTTGTTGCCAGTGGCATTGTTTTCTCGCTTGCTCCTTCGTGCCGAGAGGCTTCCCATTCAAGTTTTTTTTAACCCCGCCCCTGGCCAAGGGTACCACTCCCTCCACCTGGTCTAATTCTCTTTGCTGCTACTGCTGATACTGCCTTTACCACACGCGCTCGATAATGACCAGGTAATGCCCACGGTGATGTCGCCCAAGGCCGCCGCCGTCGAACGCCTCGCTAAGTGCATCCCGCCTGCGGTGCCCCCGTCTTGCCGGGATGCGTCCTTCCTGCGTGAGTACCGTGCCTCCCCCCGACGCTTCCTTCCATCAGGAAGGGCGGACGCGGCAGCAGAAGGAGAGGGAGGAGCGGCTTCCGGCGGTGTGGGTGGTTATCCCGCCGGCGCCGCCACCGGCGCCAGCGCCGCTACGGTCGGCACTGGTCACCTTGCCCGAACCGTACCAAACTCTGAGGCCGTGATCATCTACGCCTTCAACGCCGCCGATGACCTGGCCAAAGGGCTTGCCATCGCTGCCGCTGCCTCTAGGAGAAATCACAGTGTCGCCGGTGTCGCCGGGGACTCGGACGACCACCGGAAGTGCGTCCTTTTGCGAGCGGCGGCGGCGACGACCGGGGCGGCGGTAGCCGGCGTCGGCGACGAGGACGGCGGTGTCGGTGGATTCGGCCCGGCCCTGGTGACGGGGCTCTCCCGACCTGTGCTATCGGACGAGATGGGGGAGACCCACCTGTGGGTCGTGGACTCGAACGGCCGGCGGCACCTCGCGGCGGCGTTCGTGTCCCTCCAGCGGGCGACGGTGTTCGTGACGCTGTCGGCCTCGGCGCAGTTCCCCCCGTTCCGCGTCGAGAACCGGTCCAGCACGGAGACGCTCGCTTACCGACAGGTGGGGTGCTTGCCGGCTTGGGTACAGAAGCGTCCCGGCAGGGGGGCTACGTGTCGTTGCACCTGTGCTAGAAATCGTGGCTGCATGCCTTGAGTAACCTTTGCCTCACTATTGTTATGTCCAAAAATTGCGTGTACATTATCTTGGCTCCCGCTTGCTTGCCTACCGATCGTTATTTGTTGTACCCTGTACATGCCATGAATCGAAGTAGAGCCAAGGAAGAAGTTGGCGCTCGTACGCAGTGGCAGCGGGTGCTTCAGCTTTTATTGACGTGGCTCCACGTCCGGCATTCTCTCTGTCTGTCTGCCTGTCTGTCTGTCTGTCTGTCTGTCTGTCTGTGTGTATGTCTGTGTGTGTGTGTGTGTCTGTCTGTCTGTCTGTCTGTCTCTCTGTCTGTCTGTCTGTCTCTCTGTCTCTCTGTCTCTCTGTCTCTCTGTCTCTCTGTACCTCTGTCTCTCTCCTTCGTCGCTTTGACGAAATTCGCTCGGTCCCCCGAAGGTCGACGCGCACAAAAGCATGGGCTGGCACATCCTCCCTCCGCTGTCTTGGCACGCATTCCTGTGGCAGGAGCCCGACAAGCCGCGGGCCATCCAGATGGCGTTCGCGTCCTCCCTGACCAGATCCGGCAGCGACGCTCGACACAGCGAGGTGATGATGTTCGCCGCCGCGAGCGCACGAATCGTCCCTCTTTGGGTGCCTGCCAATCCGAGAGATCCATACGAGCACCATCTAACTTGTTGTGTAGCCTGGTCTAGAGGTCTTGACTGCTGTTTTCGGATGGCTTCAGATGCTACCGGCATGCGGGGAGCGCTACGAGGGAAAACACCGCATGGTGATGAAGGGTCTCTGTTTGTGAGCCGTTTCGGATGGCCGCGTAAGCGAGGCCCGCTATAGTTTCTGGTCTCACCCCCTCCTGGTGATGATTCCGCCGAGCAAGGGTCACAGGTGGGAATGAGACCGTGCCGGCCTTCCTGTCCAGCCAGGGTGTTTCAACACGGCTCTTGTCGTCCCCGTTACGGGGTGAACCACTCACTCGAACGCTCAACACTTGTTTTTATTGTTCACCCCCCCCTCCCCCCTCCCCCCTCCCCAAATAGGAGTACTCTTTGGATAAGATTGGGGTGAGGGATTCTCTTGAGGAGAAGAGCATCACTCGGAGCGTCATCACGCGCGTTACAACCGGAAGCACGGTCAAGAGGTAAGGTTTTTCTATTTTTTTGTTCACTACAAAAGGAATTCGCGGCCTCCGTTCCTTGTTTTTCTGCAGTCGTTTCGTCCACGACGTGTACATTCAAGTTGTGTTATGTATCCTATATGTATGTGTGTGTGCGTGTGAGTTTTTTTGTAAAACTGAAACGTGTGTTTTTTTTCAAAAAGTGCCTTCATGGTAGAGAACCAAACACCAACTTCGTAAAATATCTGGGGGGTCTTGTTCTGGGTGTTGGATTCGGATTTCTGGTGTTTGATAGATGAGTATCTTCGATGAGACTGATCTCCCGACAGTAAGCGTCGAACGATTTTGCGATAGGTGTCCATCACATGGAAAGAACACGAAATACGTTGGGAGTGCGTCTGAGAGAGGTTGAATTGTGCTCCGTCTCCCCACGGGGGTACTGACGCCTTTTCGATTTCCGCACCGTGCACACAGTTCACATAGTGGTGGCGAAAAAGTTCGAAAGGAAAGCAAAAACTTGAAATTCCTCTCGTCTTCCTTTGCAATGAACGTAAACGAACTCGAATTCTATTTCTTGTCTCTACTGTGCGGCCCTGCGGGGTAGAGCAAGAACAATATGGCACATCTTCTCCCGCGGTGATCAGGTTGCGACCCCCGTATGTAGGCTGGCCATATACTCGTTGAGGTTAACCCCCCCCCCCCCCCGCCGGTGTTTGCCATCGGGGTTGGGATTTCGTCGCTTGGCAACGACGTTGTAAAACAAGCCCCCCCGCCTGGTCCGGTGAGAACCTGGCGTGCTCAGTCCCGGCTTTGTAGGGATGCGAGGTCAATGGTCTAACGACTACGGCATGCACGACTATGAGTAC